TTACGACCAAATTTTCTACACATTCAAAATGCCGGCCGCTTTCAAGTCGCTAATTATTTTTTTCCTAGCAATTTGCTTGACATGGGTACCAAATGAAAGAGCTGGGTAGCTGGGGAGCGTAGTAGATAAGCTAAGCACCATCATTTAGCATTAAAGATGGGCGCCATAAGGTAGCTTTTTCTTTTTTTTTTCTTTTCTTCTTGTAACGCTTACTGAAGATCTGTAATGCTGAGAATAGAATGCTGCTAGGTAAGTATCTTAACTTTAGCGGACGCCGCGATTTGCCGAATTAATGTTTGTACATATGCATGGGAATTACATTTTTCACATAGAAGCTAAGCTTTCTAAATGAAGTCCGTTGACATTAAAATATTCAAAGTCCCAAGCTTCCATGTATGATCGCATAAAAGTGGCTCCCATCTACAGAGAATTTTCGAAATATTTATATGATTCGTTGGATCGAAAGACTTAAGTGTATTAGTTTTAGCTACATCCTGTTAAATGTATTTAAAAATTTTAGAAAAAAAAAAGCATGAAATTTTACGTAATTTTGTAATTTTTTTATTTAAATTCTTGCAAGTTTTTTGAAAGAAAATATTTTTTAAGCCACACCTAATAAGTCGTCAGGAGACGACTCCAATTGCGCTTTCGCTAGGTCATCTTTCGTGCCTTTACAAATGTCTACAGCTGCACACCATTTACATATCTTGGATTGAATAGCATATGCTTTTCCATACTCGTCCTTTAACTTTGTCAAACACTCTTTAAAGCTGCCGGTGCATAACTTCCACACTGCTTCTAACTCAACTATAAGGGAACAATCGACGTTAGCCAATGACTGGCCGATCATAAACGCCATAAATATGATCAATATTAAGAATTTATGCATAATCTGAAATGATGAATTCAAATAATTGCAATGAATCCGAAAAATATTTTCTCATTTCTTTGAAAAGTTAAAATTTTAAGCCGGAATACGCTATTTTCAAATCGTCTAAACATCATGAAACTATATAAACTATTATTATTCACATATGTTATTTGAATTCTAAATTACTCCCTTTTCCAAAGAACCAAAATATTATTTCACTTCAAACTATGAAAGAACTTAATTCCATCCTATGTCAGTCCCTGACGTTACTAATATTGATTTCAAATTCCTTTTGCCTGGTTTTTTTTTTTTTTTTTTTTTGTTTCTCGTTAGCAGCAACACAAAACGTGAATTGGGGAGTGGTAAGCTTTTTATAGTCGAAGTTGAGCTTATGCGATTTGTTCGAACAAATCGAGAGGAATATGCTACAAATACCATAGCCTACTAAAATATAAATTTTTGCACATAAGGTTCAGTGCTTGAATAATTTGTGAAAAGTGAATTTAAACACACACGAGCACTGCTACTTGAACCGCACTTTGGTCCAAAAAACTGAAAACCATTAAACCCATATTGAATCTTCTCATAAAGCTGGCGACTTTTCTTTGGCTTCTTTCGTAGTCACATCTTGATACTTGTTGTAGTTTCTTGCTTTCGTAGGGAGTCGAAAGAATCGACGTATTGAAACCGAAGTTTATTAAAAGACGACTTTAATAAGCAAATTCTTTAACTGTGTTCGTGGGCAAGGCTTACTACCACTCATGTGCACCGCGAAAAAGCCGCAGTCCATTCAAAAAAGCCAAAGGTAAAAGTCAATGGCTCCGTTCAATTGAAATTTAGAATTGAAATAATCATATATATATATTCACTTGATTTTCACAACATTGCTCTTGAAGATTTAATCGATTTACTGTACAACTCTCTTCTTCAAACTCTTTCACTTAACAATAGTTAATTGATTATTTTAATTTTTTTTTATTTTTTTCTTGATGAGTTATTTCAGTTATCGTGCAAAAACAAAGGCGACTGCTGCCAAGGTTCATGTTTAACGTAATGGCAACTTAATGTAGTAGTAGTAGAAAATTTGTCGGACGATTATTTTCAATATACGCAAGTAATTAAAAGTAAATATGCATAGACAAATGCCCCTCTAATATTCCGTTCAATACCTTTACTACGATGTCGTTAGTTTTCGCTTCGTTAAATTTCAGAGTACCTTCTGGAACTGTCTTCAAGCTCATTTTATATATATGAAGACTTCCAAGTGAAACTAATGGAAGTCGTCCAAGTGTAAACTTTTTAAATCACAATTTTATGGCAAAAACCCATTAGATTCGTTATTTTTACATAAAATGCCGGAAAGTGGAGCAGGAATAAACACGTCATATCTTTAGAGGATTTTATATAATATATATTTTCGAAAATTGTAAAAGCCCATTGACAAGTTCTGCTTGTATGCTATTCCGTTTACGTAAGGTCTTATTGCCCCTAACCACTCCCCGCCCATATAATCACACAAAAGTAACATATTTTTCTATATATTTTCTACATATTTGTCCATTTACCTATCCATCTGTTGATATCGCGATTAGCGCCTCAAAACTTAATCCAAACAACTAAGAATCTTTTATACGCATTCACTTGATCTTAAAAAAAAATATAAATTAAATTCAAACATTTTGTTATAGTGCTTTTCCATTTTGTAAAAAAGACGAGGGAAGTTGTCCTGGCGTAGGAGAAAAAACAAAAAATCCAGAAGTCTAAGGTGTTCTCAGTCCGATTTGGCCAGTTTTCAATGCTGACCTGTTTGCGACGAGGACTATGTTTTTTAGCGTTTACAGGCAGGCACAACTATTTCACAGACGAACAAACAGACATGTTTCAATCAAGTTAGAATTTAATACTGATCAGGAATATGACGTATACAAGCTCCGGTGTTGTATTTTAGATGTATTTTGCTCCAAATGTTTTCTTACCCTTCTTATGATATGGATTGTTTTCGGAAACCAGGTATCCGCTCACACCTTTATTGTTAACACTTCTTTTCTTTTCTTAACGATCTTAAAATTGTGATGATTGTTATTTAGAGTTTCCCCCATTGTGTACAATCAGTACAAAGTCGGTCGATAATACCTAATACATAAAAAAAAAAATATAATTCCTTCCTCGATTTTTACTTACAGCGGCTGACATTGCAAAAGTAACTTTCGAATTTTTGGTCTAGGAAAACTTTTGATTGTTCGCATCGCAAGCGAGATTACTTTTCACATATTTTGTGTGCAAAAAGTTGGTAAATAGATTAAAAAATATATAATTTCACATTACCTTGCTAATATAGTTTTTCATTAGCAGTCATTTAAAAGCTTCAGTCAGTAAAGTTATCCTTCTATATAAAAACGTTGCTTCCTATCTATATCTGTTGGTATTTAAAGGTAAAAATCACATCCGCAAGCGAAAAGACATTCTCGAATAGCGGAGAACTTATTATTTGTAAATAAACCTGAAAATATGGAAACACAAAGATTTGAAATAATCGAACGTAAACAATTTCGTTAATCGCGATCTTTGAACGTCCAGAACGATTGGACTTGAGCTTCTTAAAGCTGTTAACAATTTTTAATGACCCCTGAACATAAATTGTAGTTTGTTAAGAGGGAGCGTGTGGATAGACGACGCCAATTAGATCGTGCTCACTAACACTTCGGATAGAGGATATACTTAACAAACTTTGAACAGCAATAACAAGCACTTGTTAGTTTTTCGGGGGAAATAAAGACCTGCTGACAGCATTTTCTATATGCCTGCTCGGTGCAAAAAAAAAGTCTTTTTTGGATCGCATCTTAAGCGGGGATGAAACGCCGATCTATTTTCAGAATGCCCATTGGGCATAGTTTCAAGACGTACCAATCACATCGACAGAAAGCCAATATTCAATGTTTGATTGAATCAGAGGTTATGTCTTGAAAGCTTAACTCCAATGCCGCTGATGGGACATGGTGTGAGAAAAGTTACACGCAACGCCTCGGAGACGAGAGCGAGGTACACCAGAAGCGTGTGATGTATTATTAGCTATTAAGGTCTGGTGAATTGGTTAGTAACAATCGCTATCAACAACAAGTAATCGCTTTGAACCGTTCACGAATTGCCTGCGTAGACAAAAATAGTTACACTGTATAAGTAGATATGTGAGAATATAATAAGAAAAGAAAAAGATCGCCACTGCTTACGACCCCTTTCTCAAAATGATCAAGAATTAGATTTAAATTAGACTAAAAAAAATTATTTATTCAATTTTATGTTGTTAACTACAAAATACATCGCATGTGATAAAACAACGTCAACATTTGGCATTTATCGTAGGCTAGTTAATGTGTGGCATTTTCTTGAATGCTCGTAATTGTCTTGCATCGCTTTTTATTTTTGCTTCGGACGGAGCTATATCATGGGCTTGTCCCATCACATTTTTTCTGCTCTCCTTCGAATTTTTTATGCAATGGTTCGTTCGATGCGGCATTATCGCCTCACGAAGGAGATTAAAGCATGTCTTCATTACTCTAAAATTCAAATGATGATTTTCGATCGGTAGCTTCGTCATTTTTACGACACTGATCGTCTCGTTTGTCTTACGATAAATAAGCATAAAACCTCAAAAAAGTGGAAAAAATAAAATTTAATTACTCGTAATTTTGTGTAGGCATGGGACGTTCAGTTCCATTTTTTGACCTAAAGAGTAGAGTGTTTCGCAAAGTGCAAAATTTTAGCCTTCTAAAGTCCAAAAATTTTTCCTAGTTTACGCTTCACTGCGCGCTTCTGCTCTGACCAATTTGACTCAATACCAACCTGCGTGCGGAAATTTCCAATGCTTCTTGAATCTATATCTTCTCTTTTTTGCGGCCAAGAGAATGCCAACAACAAACATCACGCAGACAGAAAGATATGGCTAAATCAACTCAGAATTTCATGCCGATCAAGAATATATACACTCTGTCTTCCACTTGGGTGTTATATATATTATGGAAAAAAACAAAATGAGTATACCTCCGTATACCTCCTCTCATTGGTGGGTATAATGACAACGATAATAATTTTAGGCTTAGTATATATAAAACTGTATTTTTATTGCTTTAGATAACATTGCATGGTCCATCTTTATGGATACCATTATTAGGACTAGAGCCACATATGTCCATACGATTTCATGCATTTTTACAAATATCTCTTGCTGCGCACATTCTGCATGTCGCGGAAAGGACTTTAGCGTTTTCGGCAGACACCCGCTTTAACTTTTCTAGGCATCCGCTAAAAGTGCCGGGGCAGAGGGACCATGCTCTTTGTAACGTCTTTAGAGTTTTGCAACTGGCTTTTATATTCAGCAAACCACCGGTCGCAGATTCCATAACTATAAACAATATTAGGAATCTGCACACAATCTGAAATAAATAATTAAAATAATTGCAATGAATTTTTTGAATATATGCTCGCTTCTTTGAAAAGTTCATGTGTTAAGTCGGGATTCATGCATTATTCCTAGACGTTCCTCTGTTGAATGCTATAATAATCTTGCAACAAATTATGTTGGGTATAACACATTTGCTCCTGCTCGCTTCCCATAAACCCAACATATATCATTCAATAAGGAACGACTTTTATAAGAACAAATTTTGTCTATGTTCAATGGACAAGTTTGTTAGTAATGCCATCTACGCTGTAACAATTTCCGAGATCATGTTACGTTGGTGCAAGAAATCTAAAGCGGATGATTGATACTTTCTAGAAAATCAATTATATTTTCACTGGATTACGAGAACATTCTGGTTGAATATTTGCTTTATTCCCCGTAGGGAATTTTCTTCCCTATATTCAAACTGTTTCCCTGTATTGTTTCAATATTTACTTTTGTCTCCAAATTTTTGTGAAAATTGATGAACCATTTGGAGAAATTCCATCTACAGTTGCCGTGCAAGAAACTGCAAAGAATTTTAAACCGTCTGCCGCTGCTGCTGCCAATCATGTTTAACATGACGTTGACTTGGCGTAGTAGTAAACCTTTCAGACGAACATTCTTAACACGCATAGATAACTAAATGCATATATAAATATATTTGTTTATTAATATTGCACTTAATATCTTTACTTTACCATATTGCCGTTGGTTTATAACTTGTTAAATTTCAGAAAACTTTCTCGAATTGTCTTCAAGTGCTTTTTATATCTATATATAGGGCTCCAAGTGAAACTAACAAAAGTTGTCAAAGTGTAAAATTTCGAAATCAACATTTCACGTCTCATTTGAGACGTAACTTTTTCATAATCGTTGGAAAGCGGAACGACAATAAATATATCGGAAATTTTATATTAATTTCATTTTGAAAAATTCGCAAAATAATTTTGACAAGTTCAAGTAGTTCGTATGCTTACATCTCTCCAAATAGAAACGTCTACACAATCGGTCTTAAGATAGATAGATTTTAGAAAATAAATGACTTCGAGTATGTTGCGACTGTTGGGAACTGTGTAACCAGGAATCGGTTTAGAAGTTCGATTATCGAGCACAATCGCTTTTGTTTGATACTACTCGATAGCGTATATATGTTCACCTAATGTCGAGCGTAAATCGTTATGGTTTAGCTTGACAGCTAAATAGTGATCGAGCTTCAGGTTCGAAGGAAAAATAAAGTAGAGTGACGCGACAAAGTAATTGACATAGAAGGATTATTTATTACGAATATTTAAACTCAATTTATTATTTTCAATATTTTTACCTGTTGAAGCTATAGAAATTTGATCCCAATACACTAGGAACTAATTTCAACGTGTATCTGCCCGTATGCCGGCTATTCTCTGATAGGATTACCACAATCTAAAAAGCCAAACTTTCTTCCAAATTTTTTCTTGCCAATCCCAATATTCTATTTAAGGAAATGAAAAAACTCGGATCAGTTGTCAGCTCACAAATGTCAAAAAACTGAACATCTTCTTTATAGTCATAAGCTTTGACTTTAAAATTATACAAGTTTTCGTATCTGGAATAATTAATTTTAATGCCGACTGCCACAATATATCGAATTTTTAACAATCCCCTCACCATTGGTATAAGACAAAAGGGCTTGGAGCAGCTAATTGTAAAATGGGGCGAATACCACGGCCTGGCGAGATTGTTTTGTTCCATTTACAGAGGAAGGAAACCTTTCACATCAAAGATTGGAACGTTTAAAAAAAAGCAAATTTCCTATGTATTAATATCTGAAGTATTAATGTCTCAAGTTTTTATGTACTGCGGGAAGGAATTTATTATACACTAAATCACTTGCGGTACAGGATTGCATTAAGTTTGTGTAGATGTATGCAACACACAAAAGAACTTGAGTTAGCGCCCACCTTTTATTATGCTGATTGACGTAGAATCACTTTCCGAATTGCTCTATGCTATTATGTCTGCCTATCCGTCTTGCTCTCAGTCATAAAATTACTTAAGGTGATTTATGGAATTCTTTAGTTGAGCGGATCGACAATCAAAAATCGCAGCAAGGCCTAACCTTTTTCCCTGATTACAATTTTTTTTTTTTTTTTTTTGAGATTTTAAAGTTAAATTTATAATCCTTCTTCGTAATGGAAACAGACACTCGGTCAGCCCGTAAATTATTATTAATAATCATTTTCAGGAATCGAACTATGACTATGGCGGCTTGATGGACGCCTTTCTTATGCGCTACCTATGAGGCCACCCGTCGTTTTACTTAACTATGAAATTTTTATGTATTATATGAGGCATCAAGTTTTAACATTTTCCTGTTCTTCCTTTCTTTCTTCCTTCCTTAACGATAGTCGACATTTTTGAAATTTATTTTTAAAAGAATTTCTTATTCACACAATAAGCTTTGAGCTCCCCTGCTTATTGACATCAGCTTCCTGTCTATTTTATAAATTTTTGTAGTTACATGTTTTCTTTTGCACCTTAGTTTGGGGAAAAATTTTTATGATTTTGAAATTGGTCGTTGGATTGTTATTGTTATGTCCTTTGAGAATTTGCACATTCTTTTTTGTTTTTTTTTTTTTGTTGAATAAGTTTTCAATTTTATTTTATGCGTTATATACGGGGTGAGTTGAATGATGGTCCCGTATGCGCACATTTTAGGTCAACATAATAATGTTTTTCTAACGGCATGTGTTTGAGGTTACGCACGCATGTAATTTCATGCATTTTATAATCATTTCAATTTTATTTTTTTTTTTTCCTTTTTTTTTTTATTTATTTACGGTTTTGTGTGAAAAAATGGTATAAATAAGTGAAAAAATTTTAAATTTATGAGTTTCACAACACATAATAGAGAGAAAGAGGGTTATGTATATCTTGTGCTATGCAATCCAACTTAATCAAAGTAATGTTCCATGGATGATGAAGTCATTTGAGTTTATGAAAAAAATTTAAACGAATGAAACCTTCTTAAGATCATGGCGTATGAGAAAGTGATAGAGTTCTCGTATTTCTTTTAATACCGGCCTGGGGGTAATAGAAATCTAAAATTTCATTTAATAAGCTTTAAGCCCGATTTCATTACTTAATAAGCGCTTTAATCTTTTACAATGTGAATACAACAGTTTTAAGACGGCTCTCAAATAATACGTTCAAGTGAAATCTCCTTTTAAATAATGAGGGTGGATTAATCTAGTTCTTGTCTTTGTAGCATTCATTGAACGCTTATCCTTTTTTGCTAAAACCAGAGATTTACGACAATCATCCTGATATGTAGTGTCAGCCGTAAGAGGCTTTTGCAGGAGGTAATTGAAATCTTTTCGAATATAACAATGACGATATAAATTAGGATCTGACTTTTCTTTAAGCACTGATTTATTATAATACGCCTTTCTATTATAATACACTTACTTAGAACATTTTTACATATGCATATTGTTTTTTTTTTTTTTTGTTGTCGCTAAGTTGAAGATAACACTTCTCCATTATATAATAAAATCAATAATAGTACTAAAGTTGAATGGAATAAAGTAGTGAACACGTTCTTGAAAGGATTTGCCGATAAGCGTATTAACTCACCAATGCAAAGCTAAATTCTCTCATTTTTTTGGCGATTAACTTGTTCACACAATCGCTGAGTTAATGAGTTCAATCGCGTAGCCAGATAACTGACCAATAAACTTAACTCGTTCAAAATCGATAGTGATACTACCAAACGTCCATAACAAAGACTGTGAAAATAGATCGTGAAAAGTTTTTTGCCAATAGCTACTACGTTAAACATTAAATTAAATCTTGAGAAATCTTTTTGGGCTTTGCTTCCCATATGGAGAAACGATATTAGCTTCGATTGCTGCATTGCTTCAGGAGGCTATTGAAAGGTTAATTAATTCCCAGGAGTAGTCCATTGTTAGATAAAAAAAAATACATTACATGACTCCAATGATTCTTCGTCATGGCAGTCTAAGTGCCTCTATATTTGATTTGCAGTGCTTGGAATATATGAAACAAGTAAGATAACCTGTAGCCACAATATTGAACATCAACCTTTTCTTCTCATTCTTATAACAATAAAAAGAGTCATTAGAAGCATTTGGAGTTTATGGTCTGAAGGTGCCTGCTTTGTTATGGGAAAGAAAGAAAAAAGTTGCCTTTCTTGTATACAGATTAATTTACATCACAAACAGAGAGAACTAACTAACAAGAGAGGCTCAGATCTACATAGGAGTTAGAGTTAAATGTATTTGACCAAAATCATGAACTGGAATAATACAGCGAATCCGCAAGGCAGCCAACTTCAAGCCATAAAAACAATCGTTTTAGAAAAATTCTCGAGATTGATATACTTCTCCTCCACAGAAAAAAGTTTCGTCTCTATCCTATATACTTAAATATCGCTAATCGGAATTATTGCGTATCCATTTCTTTGGAAGAACCCAAAATGTTTCGAAAACAATATTTTGAAATTACAAAATTTCTTTGTCTCGATAAAAAAGTCGTTCAAAATTTACTTAAAAATATAGAATCATAGAACCATAGAAAGATCCTCCCTTAAAAATACCTATAATCTGATGTATAGTTAATGGAGCTGAAAACTGTTGCAATTAGAAGGGCGGATGCAAGGTATATACATACGCATCCTTATCCAATTTTATAGTTTATCAAAATATTTTAAATGCAGAATGGCTAGAGTTTCATATGTGAACGGAAGTAAATCATATCATAAGGGATAATTTAACAATAATTTTTTTTGTTATGTTTCAAATGAAGCAAACGAAAAAACATCTAATTCAATTTTCTTTAAAAAAAAAAATGAAAGCAAAAAAGTCATATTATGGTGGGCCCCCAATCAATTCGCCGTTTAAATGTAAAATGGAATGTTTTGCAAAATTAATTTAATAAATTTGTTACTTCGAACAATTTGCAGACCAACGTTGTCAAAAGTACTGTGTATATTGTTATCCACTCGCAGCTTTAATCTCCTTAAATACTTTGTTCTGCTTTTTTATCCGCTTATATGCGGATTAACTTTACATCTAAAATCAATGAAAGAAATTTAACTAATAAATGAGCCTTCAATTTTTAATCTTTTATCTAAATATTTAAAATATGAAAAATTTTAACAAACCTCTACAGGTGGGCGGACAGATAGGTGGATAGATGGACGGACGGAGAGAGAGAGAGAGAGAGAGAGAGAGAGATGTATAGACGGACGGACCGACAGCTAGATGGATACACGAACGGATGGATGGACGGTTAGACAGGTAGACGGACATACACACAAACACAAAAGGGAGGAAGAAATGATGATTTCGAAATATACATAAAATACTATTTGCACTCTCTTCTTCTTAAGTTTGTTTGTTGTAAGCCCTAGAAAACCTTTATGCCTGTACTGTGCATTCCTTATATTTTTCTACAATAAAAACTTGTCTTGCATTTAATTGATTACTAATTTTATACGCTTTTACATCGAGCTAAAGAAATGTTATTAATTTGTGTTCTTGTGATCTTAACTGTTGCGCTCCATCGAATTATATACAGTAAATTTCTATGTCAATCATCGAAGTACAGGAGCATTTTCGATTTGCTCTTCTTCTTGTGAACCCAAAATTCTCCCTACAGGTTCTTCAAAGTACATACGTTCTGTAATTCATTCAAATCTATTCATGTGTC